TCAGGCGCCCCTCAATGCGGTCCCTTCCCTTACTTCTCTCCCCCACCTTAACCATGTTAATAAAGTTAAGGAGGGAGAGGACAATGGACTGCCAAATCAGAGGAAATCTGTTAAAAAATAATAATATATATAATATAAATGGACGACGAAGCTTACATAAATTTGCAGAAAGATCTGCTTACGGGTATGGCCAATCAAAGAAGAATGAGTGGCATTCTCCCAGTCTTGCTAAAAAAAAGACTCGTACAGAGCCTGAAAGACAAGGGAGAAACGTGGCACAAATTCAGCGCCACCTCGATCTAAGCTGGGGGGACATCAACCACTATGAACTGCGGGTCTAGAACCCTCGCCCCAGGCCGCAACAGGCGTTCCTTGGGCGGAGGGACCTCGTGAGTGTTGATTATATCAATAACCGGCGCTGTCCCAGCCTCCGCAGTTGGCGTTTCATCCTAGCGAGGCCTTTTAGCCCTCGATACTTCTTGAGCCGTCGAAGGCTCTGCCGTAAGTTGAGGCTTCGGTGGGGCGTCGGCCCTAGCGCCCTGCCCATTACGAGGCTTCTGCTTCTTTGAGTGCCCCTTGTCACCTGGGATGCGCAATTGTAAGGTCTTCATCTATGCATCAGCCAAAGCTAAAGTTAGGCAAATGACAAATGTAAATTGACGAGTTCTAGGAAAAAGACTGACCGCCGGTGGTAAACTGAAAGAAGTCCTTAACGGCGTCGATATTTACGGGATCGGGAAGCGATAACAGGAGGCCAGAGCTTTTTAAGTTCGCCCACGTCAAAAGGGCGCTGATGTGGCGATCGACTTCTGAGAAGCTGAAGGCTTGCGTCACCCTAGCAAGCTGGTTCCCAGAAAGTTGAGGACGGTTCTAAGGTACTGCACAAAATAGTGTGGGGTCAGCGGTGTAAAAACATGACAGTTGTATAGTAGACGGTCGAGGGTACTCACTTAGCGTCCCGAATGATGTCTGCACCCCTCGGCACTTAAAAGGCCTATCAGCTGGGTAGACGCCGAACATACCCTTCACCATAAAAAATATTGGCTTCCAGGTATGTGACGACGACGGCAACCCCTTTATTAATTTTTCTAAGACAAGTTTGGATCGCCCGTAACTACCCAAGAATACCAACAGTCACATTTAGGGACCTGGCAAAGTTTGTACACATAGAGGAATTCATCCAAAGGCATATCTACATCAAACCTTTGGTCCCAAAGTACCCACATACTAGCAAAGATATACCAAAAATTTGGGACCAGCTGTGTGGGGAAAATGCCATGAAGTTCGCAAATGGTCTTTAAGAATGAGTGTATAGGAAGTGTTATTCCCGCCATGAAGGCCTGGGTATACACAGACATATACCCCAGGGGTGATTGGCTCCCCCTGAAGTGGGGGTCCGGGAGAAGAAACTCAAACCATCGGTCGTCCATGCGACCCTTTTTATACGTGCGGATGATATCTCTCTGCCGTGTCTTTGGTTCCAAAAAGTCAATTATGAAAGGAGATCGATCTTCATCCGCCCCCACTAACGCCACGGGGATGCCAGTATACTGACCACTAAAGCCAATAATAACACCGCCTACTAAGGAGTCGGAGCCACTGAAGGTAGAGGGGTTTTCCTCTTCTTCCTCACCTTCGACCAGGCGGTCGACACTATCTTCATTGTCTCATGAGTCAGGGACGTACTCCTTGATATCCCTCATAATCGGGTCACTAGCAGTAGAATGGGAGGAAGACTCAGTGGCTGGTGTTGGATCCAGCCTCACAAAAGGCGCGGGTGATGATCCCCCTCGACGTTTAATCCTTCTAGGTGTCATTGCTGTGAAGGAAAAATCTAAGGTCAGTTCCTATAAGTCGAGAGGAAAAAGGAAGATAATTTGGTGCCTAAAGATAAGAAAGCTTGGTCGGTTAAAGTCAAAGGGTAAAGCGACGATAGTTCAAGAAAGCAGCGATGATTCAGGCTTAGATATGAACTAGCCAAAGACTATTCAAACAAAGTGACGATCATTTAAACTAACCCAGAATGCCAAACAGAAATCCAAACTCACTTGAAACTCCTATAACCAGTCTAGAACATTGTGAATAATGTCAGACTCAGGTTCTACCACCCCTATTACGCCATTATCAATCGTTCCCCTTACTCAAGAAATTTTTCGTAATCCCAGGTGAGATAAACACATCAAAAATGAAGAAGATGGACGAGGAATGCTTACCAAGAAATCAAGAGCAAGAAGGATGTAAGAACACTGGGGTGAATATCACCAAAGATCCGCAAGTTAGCAAGAAGAGAGTAAACGGTCCTGAAGAAATTTTTGCAGAGTCTCAGCTACTTCAAAATGGTTTTGAAACGGTTTAGACACACGAAAAGACTACTTATAGCAACCAAAAGCCCTCGGGCCCTAGCCGTCCAATCAGGTACGTACGCATCTAATAGTGGAAGCACAAGAATTCGATATGACGGTTGGGGGAAGGGCGGGAGGCTAAGGAGGCACGATCTAGTGGCCCAGGTTCATCCGTTTAAATAAAAGGCCACGTCAGCATGGCGATTGAACTGATGCGACGTTTACGCTTTTTGAGGGGTTGTCAAAGCGCCAAGGCCATCGTTGCAAGAAAGGCTCAAAGTTAGGCTCCAACACCCGAAGTAGACGAAAAAAAGTGCCAGAGCGAATCCTAACCTAGCTCGAGGTAGTCCAACGGAAAGCCTCGACCTGGGGGGTAGCTATTGTGTGGAAAAATGTGCGCTGACACGTCAGACAATGATAGTGCCCCACGTGGCCCCGTGTTAGCCACGTCAGATAGTTGTCGTCACCTGAAACTCCATATGGTGAAAAGGTCGAGTGTACAGGATGACTCATGAGACCGTCGACCCATATACAGTCGAGGCCTACATGACTTGTTCGCATCAGAGGTACCGTGATAGGTTCGACCGATAGGGAACTTGCGGCTGGCTTTGTATTGTGTAGGCACAAGGAGCTAACTGCATGAATATGGGTCCACGTCTCTAGAAAGTCCCCTGGGCGGACAAGGGGAAATCCCCAGATTGCGTCTGGACTTGGAAATGGTCAGCAACACAGGAAATGATTGCTTGCCCATAAACCACCTGTGGAGGACCAATGAAATCAAATAAGGATCCCCAGAGCTGCAATAGTGGATGAAAGGGGTGAGTGAACAGTGCAAAAGGCGTTGACATGCTACAATCTAGGCAAATAGGATGGTAGGCCACTTGGGGTAAGTCATCATTAAAATCCCTGTGTCAGTCCATCCAAAAAGGGTCGATATGTGATCCATAAGCTATAAAAGGAGCAAAGCCCCCGAGAGGAAGGCGGGATTGATTGGTTATGTAATCTAAGAACCAAAGAGAAATATAATATACAGTGGATGTAACTCTTGTTTAACAGGGTGAACCACCATAAACTCTCGTACGTTTTATTTCCATTCAAGCACTATTTGTATACTTATCATCATATTCTTTCTAAGCAAACGCTTTATAGCATTAATCCAAATACATAACAATAATAGGGCCGGTAACCCGACGGAACACCGGAAGGTAACCCGGCGTAATCTTGTTGACGAAATTCTACCGTCAACAGCTTTGGTAGTCGTTGTCTCACAAGCAACACCATAGGTCTTTGTGCAAGTGGAGCGAAGGCCGTGTGGGTTTTCTTTCTTCCTCTCTTCGTCTGTCTCTGTGCGCTGTGCGACCAAGCCCCTACCTCTTCTATTATCGTCGTCACCTAGCACGTTCAGTGAGTGCAGTTGACGTTGATTTCCAGTGGGATTCGCGTTCTAGCGATGGAGAAGGCTCGCTTCGTCAAGATCTGCACCGCCGTCATCGTGAGAATAAGATCCATGCAATCGTCGTCATGAGTTGAAGGTTCTTGTCGCCGTCATCTACGGGAGGGAATCTTGTTCTCCGCTCTGATCTCTGAGCTTCGTGGCTCGTGGAGATCTTATCCACAGTTTCTCACCGGTGATTGATTTATTGTGTTTTGTTTTTTTTTTTGTTTTTTTAAAAGAATTTTGCAATTGATTTGGTTTTATTTTTCATTTCTTTGAATTTTTGTTTTCCATTTTGTGGACTATTGGATTTGTTTTGTGATTTTTTGTATATTTTTTGTGATTTTGACGCCGCCGGTAGCTGCAGTTTCCAGTGGATACCGGATGGTAACCATCTTGTATCACAGCTAGATGCCAGTATCACGGTTGGACATCGGCTGCTCTCCAAAGTTTATTTTTTTAATTGTGCGAAACGTTTTCGGTTGGCGACCGCCGATAACAGTAGTTTCTGGACAATTTTGGTAGTTACCGGTCGGTGACTTAGTAGTTATTGATCGGTAATTGGTATCTTGACAGATCTCAATTGGTATTTTGACCAAATACTAATGAATTAATCGGTCGGTGGTTGGTAGCTGCTGGCGACTACTGCCACTGCACTAATAGTGGCGGTTGTTCATCAGATACTGCCGCATATCTCGGTTGAATATTGGTTTTGTGATAGGATATTAACAAGTATTTCGATTGAATATTGATATAATGGTCGGAGATCTACTGGCATCTTAAGGAATATTTGAATATTTAAATTTTAAATATAATATAATGATTAGGTTATGATATTATATAAGAGTTTATATTTCTTAACATATGTAAATTTAATTCTTTTTAAAGCCCTAAAACGTTGAACTAAACATGGACTCTGCTTTCCTAAAAAAAAAAAAAAAAGATAAACAATGAAAACTCTTGTCTATCTCACGTGTAATCACAACCGCTCATCATCAAATACGAAACGATCATCATCACATCGGCTCTAACAATGCGCCAGCGACGCAGGTAACCTTTTTGGTGGTAACTAGAACGAATCGAAAACGATTCTACTCATTGACTACGTTTTCCCTCTAAATTTTCTAAACATTTGGCGCCTAAATCTTTTAAAGTGCTTTTTTCCCTTTCGTCTTTTTTCTCTTAAGTTTCTGAAATCTGATAGCTCTTGTTGTCTCGGTCTTCATCAATTAGAGAGAGAGAGAGAGAGAGAATCTGCGCAGAAATGGAAAGCGACGACGAGGTTCTACTATCTTCGTCTCCGTCAAGGGCTTCTCCTCCGGTTCCTGAACGAAAGCTGAAGCGCTTGAAGAAAGCAATTAGGGTTTCTCCAGATGCCCAACTCGAACGGTCCAACAGTGTTCCTTTGATGGCGGAAGAGAATTTCTCCCAATCCGAAGCCCTAAATTTTGGTGAATCGGAACAGCAATTGTCGTCTGGTTCGGGATCGGAGGAATTCGATGACGGAAATGTTTTGGATTCTGGTTTTCCTGGTTTTGATGGTGAGAAAGATGGTTCCGGGGCTAAGAGAGCTTTGGATTTCGAGGCTTTGGGAGAGGAAGCTGATGAGAATGGCGAAGATCGAAGCAAGGAGATCCGAGAGGAAAGTGCAGATGTATCAATGGGGGAATTTGAGAAGAAACGGCGTAGTCCTGATCCTCTCGAGGAAGAGAAAGACAATAAGAAGAAAAGGAAAAAGAGTACTGAGGGTAGTGGCGACGATGAGAAGAGCAAAGATACTTCTGCTAACAAACGGAGGTCGGAGAAGGTACTGCAGGCTTGTTGAATTCTGATTTGTTGTTTGCTCTGCAATTCTCTTGACGTATTTTTCTGATGTTATGAATTTGTAGGAAAGAAGAGATTATCTAAAGCAACTCCACGCTGAATCTCAGCGACTTTTGCGAGGTATAAATTTTGTATGTGGCAAATTTCTGTGTAGTTCAAAATTTTTTAGACCCGATTAGAAGCTATTTATTTTTGTGCATCGACTCACTTGAGAATTGCATGCTCTTCCTGGGTAGAAACTAGAGATGCGGCATTTAAACCTGTACCACTTGTTCAAAAGCCTATATCTTCAGTTTTGGAGAAGATTCGACAGCGAAAACTGGAGGTTTCCAAAAAGTGAGCATTTCATATATGAATTTGTTTGTAATTGTGGGTCCTGTGTGTATGTTTTTAAGTTTTTATATAGTGGAATGATTTTGTTTTGTTTTCTTGGACGGTGGGTGGCAGATCTTTCAGTATAACTAGCACATCTTTCATTGATGATGATAACGATTCCTCAAGGGAAGTTACTGTAATCCGAAATACAGAAAATACTCGTGTAGATGAGAGAGAAGATAATAGAGTTTCGGCAGCAACATGTAAGGAGACTATTTCTCGTCCTACTGAAGCTGAGGGTAGCATCAACGTGCTGAACACGGATGAATCTAATGATAGAGTGAGACCCAGCAGCATAAAAGTTCCTCGGATGGTAAGTTCTCTGCTAAAATGCACTGAGAATTCTCAGACATTTTTTATGAACATCATTGAAGTGGATAAAAACAGGCTTCGGCATTCGGTTCGAGGCAATGTCACTTGGTGGTTCACATTTAGTTTTTCAAGTCTCACAAATTTCTCAACAAAACAAGAAAAAAAAATGCATATGCGTTTCTTAACCACATAAAATGGAATATATGATAATACGTCAAGCAGTTTAAGAGCTCATACTTTCAACCAAAAGAAAGAAAGAAGTTTTAAGAGCTCATGCCGTGCCAACCTTGCAGTTTTAGGAAAGTGTTGCTTTTATTCTCATGACATGTCAATTTGAATTTTAAGTTTTAAGACAACAAGCTTTTTGGAGGGGTTGCATGACACTTCCATTTGGATACAGGTTGTGGGTGAGGAATCCAATCAATCATTTCGAGCTCCTATTGATGATACTCAGGTTCTCCTTGCGTCTCTTCCTTGCTAAGGCAGTTTGAGTGGGCTTTGCCACTCGCAAAATAATTGCACATTAGAATTAATTACCTGCTGTATATCATATTGTAGGAGTTGTTTTCTGATTCCCAATCAAGTGACTCGAAAAATGAGGCACCAAGCAGTCCTTTGGAAGAGGTTTTTGTACCGTCAGAACTTGTAATGAACTTACAGCTTGACTCTGCACCTCCTGATGATGTGTAAGTTTCCATGTGTTTATGGTGAATTTCTGCCATCTTCCAACCAAACTGCATCCATTAACATGTTATCCACATGCTGTGTTTACCTTAGTTTCTTGTGATTCATGCGTGTGTGATAAAATTAAGGTTTTATGTTAGATTTTAGTGGTGTTTGTTTGGATATAGATAGAAATAATCATCATTCGCCAGTGCGATCACATAACTTGATGAGAAAAAAAACACAAATGTGTATTCTTTTATTTGCGAAATGTGGGGAAAAAGCACTTGTTCTCTGGTTTCTTTTGAACGATCTCTTGTTTGGAAGGGTAAATCTAATTATCATTTCCAATTGTAGTTCTTCCGATGAAGAAGACAACGACAAAGAGAATGTTGATCCCGATCCAAGTGAATCGGCTGACTTGGCTTCGTCTCCAAAAGGCAATCCTGTCAAAGCTTTTGTTGATGATGAAGCTGAAGAAGAAGATGACAGTGACAATGACCTGCAGCGATTTAAAGATAATGATGATGATGAGGATGCTGAAGATCTTGAGGAGCTTAATGAAATGATAACCGCCGGGTATGAAGAAAGACCTGTTGATAGTGAAAGACGTAATGAATTTCATCAGCAATGGCTTGAACAACAGGATGCAGCTGGAACAGAAATTCTGCTGCAGAAACTTAAATATGGATCGAAACATAGAGAAACAACTTTGGTTGAAGAGGAAGAAGATAAAGAAGAGAATGAAGATGGCGAGTTTGGCGATGAAGAGGCAGAAGAGTTGGCTCCAACTGATCCTGTGAGAATAAATTTGCGCAAAGTAAAGCAAATGATTCCTCAAATGTTTACAGACAACAATGACGCATACTTATCTGATGATGAGGAAACGGAAAAGAGGCTTGCTAAACAGTGCCTGCTCCAGAAAGTGGTGAGTTCTTGGAACCCTATTGGACGCAAATTCCAGAATTCCAGTTTCTTTTTTGATGCGTTTTTTGGAATTTCCTATTTGCTTTTAAAGTTGTACACTTGATCTTCATTTTGTGCCTAAACTTTTTGATTTGAAACAGGAAGAGCAGGTTACTTTCTTGTCACCAGCAGAGGACGAAAGTTCTAGAGAAGTTTTTGGTCGTATAAAAAAGCTGAATATTGTGCCGGAACTGAAGAAGAGAGCTAAAACACATAGTAAGATTCTAATCTGTTCTACCTGATCTTATGTTGTACTTCATTGACTCTGCTGAACCTATTTTGATATCACTTACTGTTATTTTGTTTTTGCAGCCTATTTTGATATGTCACTCATGGGAGTAAACAGAAACATTTCATCAAAGGTACATTCGTTTGCAACATAGGATTTCAAACATTCAGTTTTCTGGAGATCTCTTATTTTAATATCAAACTTACATTTCATAAAATTTTGATCTAGACTTCCCACCTGCAGTGCAGTGGGAAAGTCTGTGCATTTGTTTTCAATGGTTTATTATTGTTTCTGTTTTCTGCTTAAACAAGTACCTTGACTAGTCTAATTTAATTCATGTTTCAACATCTTGAATTGGCGAATGCTGTCCTTGGGACATCTGATGCTTACAAGAAACATTTAAATTCTACTGTCTAAGCTGATAAGATTTTACCCACCTTAATACGGAGACAGAGCAAAGACATTAATGCTGTTGATTAACAATGCCTTTGGGTTCCTTTGTTTTTTGTTTTTTTTCTTTTGTTTTTTGTTTTGCTTTGTTTTTTCTTTTTGTTTTTTGTTTTTTGTTTGTTGTTTTTTTTTTTTTTTTTGTTTTTTTTTGTTTTTTTGGGGAGGCTAAACAACATTACCCTTGATTCATGTTGCAGCCATCTTTCCTAGGCCGGAGTTCCAGTCATTGTTTACCATCATCCAGAAAGCAAGGATCGATGACTGCTCGTTCCTTTATCTTTGAACGAGACGATAGCAATAGTAGGAGCACAACATCAGACTTAGAGGATTCTTCTGAAGCGGTAAGATATGGAAGAAACATGTTGAAGCTTTATCTTATACCATGTATCTAGCTCTTCCACATTACACATGTTTGCTCTCATTAGCATCCATTTCTCAGCATTTAAAACACCGAAGACAAATGATAGCAAAACTCATCATTACATCACAGTTGTTAAATTTCAGGTCATAACTTAGCTTTTACTGGTTTAGTTTGATATGCAATTCTGAGCAATATCTATATGTTTCTCTACCAATGCTGAAAAAACCATAATTGACAAAGCAGATTCAGAGGGAGAACCGAGCAAGGACGGCTTCTGTCAAGTTCAGCAACTCACAAAGAAAGACTCTTCCTCAGAACTCCTCACCAGTAATGAAGTCAGATACTTCATTATTTGATATATTGAAGAGAACTTCCTTGACATCTAAGCGGCGCACAGTGGATAATGTGGTAACCCAGACCGAGTCTATACTAGCCTCATTCAAGTTGGCTAAGAAACCAGTGAAACCAAAGGAAGATCGCATCTTATAGCTAAAGACTTGAAATGTGATGCTTAATCTTCTGATTTGCTTCTGTGATTTACTCGTATTCCGTTCGGTGAAGAATTGGGCAACGCAATCTTGCAAATGTCTTTATTTATTCTTGACTCAATAAAGAATTAGTATGAATTGCTTTCACAGCTTTTCAAATTGATAAATCTATTTTTGGTTAGATTATTTCACTATTAGTATTAGAAAGTGTATGATATAAAGCATTCCAAAAATGATTGACACAGTTTTTTTTTTTTTTTTTTTTTTTTTTTGTGTTGTATTTAGCGGAGCGGCAATTTTTTACTGTGCAACAACACCAAAAAAAAGCTCCACCGGTGGAGCACCTAAAATGTAATTGACTTTACTTTTAAACCGTTGGATATGAATCTCAATCATGTTTAAAATGGTGCTCACCACACAACAATAATACTCCTTAAAAATTCACAATGAGCTATACGTAATTAACTAACATCTTTCTAAAATTTTTTTAAAAAAAAAGAAAAAAAAACACTTCTTCATCAGCGCCATTCAGCGGCCAATATCGTCCCCTTCACATTTTTTCTTTCAGTTCTACGTTGAGCCCGTTGTAATGCCAGAAAAGCTTATTAGATCACTATTGTCAAGATCTGTTCCTTTAAGCATCAGTTTGATAATAGATTGACTAAAGAAATGATTTTTAATGTATTGATTTGAGGGTCTCTATTCAATATGAATATTAAATATAATCACAATGGTTTTGGCCTGTTTTCCCCTTTCTAATGTTGATTTCCATTAGTGTTCTCACCCTATATGAAAAAGGAAAAGAGAGTTGTAATATATATATATATGCTCTGTGTTTTCTCAATGTACAACATCTCTGATACAAATATATACAACACGAGAAAGAAATAAATCATACAGCTAGCACCCAATCAAATGGCGAAAATGTGGAAGTAATTACAATCAAATATATAGCTGTCAAAGTGGAGATAGTTGACGTATGATATTTGGAATCAATGCCATTGTGGAATGCTGAAATCTCTCCCGCAGATTTGCCAAATTTCAACACTTTAAGCTCATATCCGCCCTTAGCCTCCTAAATCCTAATTTTGTTGCTAAACATTCCATTTTCGTCTATGGCGGCGACAGCAACAATGAGGCTCCATGGACTACGATGTGGATGACTACGGGGACTTTGACATTGGTGACGGGGATGGTTGCGGAAGACTAAAAGAGCTCGTATTGGCGGGGTAGAAGGGGTTCAAAGCCGCCGTCAAGGGAAGGTGGGGTTTTAGCCGCCGTCTGTATGGGTTTCGGCCACCGTCGGAGGATGGCGTGGTTACCACCGTCGTGGAATGGGGATGGACTACCTGATTATTTGTCGCCGTCGTGGTGGAATCTTCTTCAACAATGGAGATGCAGATTATTTATTTATTTATTTGGCAAATTATATAATGGAACCCCTAAAATACTTCTATAGGTAGAAGCGATTTTCATAGTTGTACTTGTGCAGTTTGTATAAAAAATTCTGCCCAATATTTCTCAATCTGCAGATCAATCCAATGATCAAAAATAACGTTTCTGATAAGGATGTCTGATTATTTTATTATTTTTTGAAAGGAATAAGCGGACGAGAGAAAAAAGTCTAGAGGAATGAAAAAAATGTGAAAAGATCATGTGCGACTTGTTTTTAGCTTGCATTTTCCATCAAATTGCTCCTAAAATCCTGCTCTGCTAGTGGAACAAAAACAGGAGTTACACCGTAAAAATACATTTAGGTCCCGTTTATTTTATCGATTTAAATTTTATACAGTAAGAAGTTCTCAAAAATAATCACTTTTAATTTTTTTATTATAATAAAAAAATTTTACATAAAATTACATCTCAAGTCAAATTAAAAATTTAAATTAGTAAACTAAACGGGCTTTAAATGTTTTAAAAGTCTGATTTTTAAGTTTTAATTTTTATACACGAAAAACTTTTTCTAAAAAAAAAAAAAAAACATGAGAATACTTGTTGGCGCAAAGTCTCTTGAAAGAGTACTTGATTGAACATTGATTTTGTATCCAAATGAAATCTATAGTGGCAAAAGAATTAATGCGTTGTGTTTAGTTTGTGAGAGACGAGGGAATCGGTTATAATCTTAGGAAAAGAAAAATGTAAGTGTTAATGATGGAAACGGTGCAAATCTATGCAAAGGCAAAGGCGGTGTAACAAACGAGCAAATCTATGCAAAGGCAAAGGCGGGGTTACAAAATGAAATTTAGTATATAAAAACAACACTGTATCCACGTGCGGTGGCAAAACGAAACTGGTGTGCTCTAGTTTTGATGCTAAAACATTGAAACATCATCTTCTACGTCCAGACACTATCAATTTTGATATTTAAGTAACACTATTTAGCGGAAAAAAATAGTTAACAAAATTTCCGTTTATTCATTTTATTTTACTTCGTATAAATCAAATAATTTCTACACTTCTCTTCAAAATAAAAATTTCTACTATATCATTTAAGTACAACGATTTCAACATTTATTTTAATCACGGTAATTGATATTCTCTTATTTCTATTAAATAAATCAATAATTTTCTAAAATCTTTATTAATCTAGTGTAACGTTTACATGTAGAAGATCAGCTCAAGCCACTAGATGCAATAGTTATGCGACTTGTCGTTTGGTTCCTATTTATGTTTCCGTCATTTGGTTTGTAATCAGCGACTCAACGTTTGTTACCCTTTTTATCAAAACGCTGTGTCGTTTATTCTGCCCCCCATCATGTTTATAATATATTAAATATTTAATATATTTAATATATTATTTATTTAATATATTATTAATTTAATATATTTTTATATATTTTTAAAAATTAAATCACCAAACACAATTTTAGTTTTTTTTAAATTGAAAACAATCTCAGAATAAAACTACCAAACGCATTTTTAAAAATGATTTCAAAATAAAAATAAAAACATTTTTATTTTCATTTTCATACAAAAAAATAAAAACGTTTTGAAACTAATTTCAAACGCACCTTATGTTTTTCGCTCCCGGAACCACGCATGCCACCCTGCTAGGCACAAAGACCACATATTCAATGCAACAGCGAAAAATCTTCATCACAACTTCATGGCCCCATGGACGCAATAAAATGGAATAAACATAAACCCTAATGCACCTCACAAAATGAGGAACCAACAATAATGACATGCGTATTGATTACATATTCATCACAATGAACAACGGCACCAATTTTAGGGCATGCAAACGATATCAATGAATGTCAAATAACCATCAGCAAAAATAATTAAATGTTAAATAGCTCTTTTTCTTTGCTCCGAAAATATTAAATAACACTTATTTCAGCTTATCCTAGTATTAGATAAAAGAAAAAGAAAAATAACCAGGGAATTTAGGGGTTTGTCCCTCTTAAAACTTAAGATGTCCAAAAGCGTCAAATTTCTTCCCATAAATCCTGCACGTGTCACAATATAAGTGGCGAGAACGGAAATTTAGGCCTCGTTCGTTTCGATGATTCGAGTTTAGAATTTGAGTTGAGATGTGATTGTATGTGAGAGTTTTTTACTGTAGCAAAAAAGTTAGATGTGATTGTTTGTGAGAGCTTTTTACTGTAGCAAAACTCGAATTCTAAACTCGAATCAGCGAAACGAACGAGGCTTAAGGATTAGAATTGGCTTATGTGAACTTTGTGCATTTTATTACCGTAGAAATACACCAAATACTTGGCTGGTGTAATTTCCAACAGGGAAAATTCTTGCCCTAATCTGAATCTAAAATATTTTAGCTCCGTACAGACCTGAGTCAAAACCTCACAGTGAGTTTCGAGTTTTCCACTCCCCAAAAAAAAAGAAAGAAAAACCAATTGTATCATAATCTTCCCACTAGTTTATTGAAAATCTTCAAAAGGAGTTGATAAAGCAAAATCCTATCCATAATCACCAGATCTACAACAATGGCGAAGCACTAAAGCAAGCAGAAAAAGCTAAGCTTTCTTCAATGGCGAATTCCCTCAAAGGCAACCTCCTTTCTATCCTTTTTCTTTTCCTTTTAGCTTCTCCTCTTTTTTCTAGGGTTTTGGCGAGCTCTAACTCGGTCCCGATCCAACAAGAAACAGAGCATAAACGCGATTCTGATAATAACAAAGAATCCGAAACCGCGATTGATTTCGATCGTCAACAAGTTCTGTTGCAAAGACTCGATGAAATAGTGAAAAACCTTAGCGAGATAGTTTCTAGGTTGGAGTCGAAGCTGTCGGAGCCCTCGAAGGGGGCGTTTAGCGATGAGAAGCGCGAGCTCGAGGGTTTGAAAATGGATCTTTCGGAAAAGGAAAATCTTGATCGAATTAAGACGAAGTACAAGCGAAAAAGCTCCATTAAAGTTGAGCAAGAAGGTTTTGATGATAAAGTCCCAGACGGTGAAAAAGCTAGGGCGGTTTCGGTTACGAAGTACAGCCCCTTTTGGTCGGAGAGGTTTCAGTTTGTATCGGCTGTGAAATTGGATTCCCAAGCGACTTGTATCAATGTCTTGCCTTTTAGGGATTACGAGGGATTAAGCAAGTATGTTGCTGTTGGGGATGAGAGAGGGACAGTTTATGTGTTCTTGAGAAATGGGGATGTTCAGGTTCAGCATCAGACATTGTCGGATTCGCCTATCACGGCAATGGTTTCGTACTTGTCAGTGTATAAGAACGAGAGTTTTGTGGTCACAGGGCATAGGAATGGCGCAATCTTGATGCACCGGATTTGGGAAGGATCGAGCTCGGGCGGAGAGGATTGGAGCTTGTTGTTTATGGAAAATGTGGGCGTATTTGTGCCGACTAATAAGGGCGGAGATGGTTTGGCCATAAGTATATTGGAAGTGCATCATGCTGGAAGAATGAGGTACATACTGGCCACTGATGTTAGTGGCAAAATTTGGGTTTTCAGAGAGAATGGAACAGTTCATGGTGCGACAAGGCCGAACAGTAGACCATTGGCTTTCTTGAAGCAGCGGCTTCTGTTTTTGACTGAGACTGGTGCAGGGTCGTTGGACTTGAGAAGCATGAGAGTCAGGGAGTCGGAATGTGAAGGTCTGAACCATTCTTTTGCTCGGAATTATGTCTTCGATGTAACTGAGCGGTCTAAAGCTTATGGCTTCACTTCAGAAGGTGATCTGATCCATGTGCTGCTGCTGGGGGATATAATGAACTTCAAATGCAGGGTTAGATCCAAGAGGAAATTTGACATGGAAGAGCCTCTTGCGTTTCAGGCAATAAAAGGGTATTTGCTTATCGTTGGTGGGGAGAAAGTTTTCGTGTATAATGTCTCGTCTCAACATTATGTCAGGGTTGGATCTCCCCGGATACTTTTCTCTGCTGGTTTGGATGAGATCAGATCATCTTTTCTGAATTATCAGAGCAGCGATTCGGATGGTGAGGGAATGGAGGCTTTCCCTTTGATAGCTAGCGACCACGAAAAGTTTGTGGTTATTGGCCTTGGTGGTGGCTATGTGGGCATGTATCGCTCTAACCTCCCAGTATATAAAGGGGAATTCAATAACATATTTTGGACCAGTCCTGTGTTGTTCTTTATACTTTTTCTTTTTGGAGCATGGCAATTTTTTGCTAAGAAGAAAGAAGCACTTACTTCTTGGGGACCAGATGATCCATTTAGCTCTACAAGTACGGCTGCGACTACAACTGGAGCTCCAATGCCAGGAACTAGCTCCGGAGAAAGAGCAGAGAGGTCCTTCATAGACTCTTCATCAAGAAGTACTGATATGATGAATCTGAGGGGTGGTGGTCTCAGAGATCCGACAAGAAGGTATGTCTCTCCACCGCGATACACCGGCGGAGCAACCAGTTCCTTTAGGCCAGCTTCTGTTGATCATAACCCCAGAGGAACAGCAGTTGATCCTAATTTTAGAACTTCAGAGCTGAAATTTAGGGGCCCAAGTTTAGAGTCATCAGGTTTTCCTAAGAGAAGAGAGAGTCTATTTGTAAACACGCAAGGCGTGGATGATAGCAACTAACGTGTATGGTCAAATTGTATGGTATGGAAAACTTGAGCATCAAGTTATTTTGGGATTTTATTCTTGGACTAGTCATTTGGCATCGTAGCGCCATTTGAACTTGCACTGGTTGCTTCGGCAGCATCAGCGTGCAGAAATAAAACTATAAAAAGAAAGTTTTCAAGTGTTACTTTTTACTAACCCTTTATGTTTTTTTTTTTTTTTTTTGGGGTCCAACCCATGTCCATATGAATAAATTGGTCATTGGTAAATGGAACGCTGAGTAACAACTATGTTGCCTGCTATTCTCGTCGATGTAATTAGTGAACTATGGAATATTTTGGCATGTGATTCAAGTACGTTATTACCACTGATATACCAGAGTAGAAACCCAGTTCTGTTGTTGACATTTTGCTTTTACACAACACAGAGGTGATCAAGCCACGACTACGACGCATCTTTTTAGGTCGTTCTTGTCACCTTTAAAAAAAAAAGTTTCTACTATGACTAAATACAATTTTTTTTTTTTTTTTTAGAGTGAGTATTTCACTCATGGTAGATAGTGGCAGGCCGTCGTTTGAGGCCGTGAGGGTAAAAAAGCCGCATGCCGTTTATGCACTAGAGATGGTAAAAAGTAGGAGATGATCAAAAGTTGATGTGCCGATTTCCAGGGACGAGTGCGCATCTTAGATCTAGCCAAACTACAACGCCACTAACTATCATTCTGTGCTTGTATCTCGTCCTGCCAGGCCAGCCTGCCCAGCCACCAGGATAAAAGGCTAAAGTTGAAAACTTTATATGCGTTCTCTGTATTTTTCTAGTCAGCAAGCTAGGCACACGCTCACATCATTAGCACGCCGTAGTTAAGTCGTGGCATCACAAAACACTTTTATCATCAAGATATTTCCAGCACTTTTTGTACAAAATGTAATATTGACATTATCTGGCTCATCTCATTGATATTGTCGTCGATTTATCAGAGTATTTCTATCATCATTTGACATCTTCACCCATAGTCATAAAGTTTAGAAGTTGCCTTAAAGCCGTGCAGGATTCAGCTTCCACGATAGTGTTTTTTGGCATTGATCATAGGTATTAATTACCATGAAACAGCCCTACTGAATAATTTATCTTTGGATGATTATCACAAGAATAAGAAAAAATTGGATAACGGTATAAGTAAAGCAAAGCCAGGTCTCAAAATTATGCACACACCATTATACGACATGATGAAGGGGAAAGCGATGGGGGTGTTTCCAAGCAAAAACAAAAAATAATAAATAGAGAATAATAAAAATTTTATAACAATGAAGAGAGTATAAAACAAAGCTAATCTACATCAGCAGGA